TCTGTTCGTTAAGATCTATTTTACTATCAGAAAAGTTGTTGTGAACCAACTTATTTAGCAATAAGGCTCCGGTTCAAACAATTGAATCGCTGATCCGGTCTTTGCGACACCATCTAAAAAGACATTGTTCTCGAGGCAGCCTGCAAAGTAATATCAATTTTTTGTCAGTACACGAAAGCACCTAGAAAAAAAAAATTTTTTAAAACTAATTTTAAAAAAGATACACTAAATTTTAAAATTTATTTAAAATACTTTATTTGCATTCGCATATGATCAGTAAGCGCTTTGTAAATATATTTGCAAACATTTTACTTTGTACATATATTAAATATTGATTTAACATATTGATTTACTCGTATTCTATATATGAATGATTTATAAACATATTTATTTTTAATAAAAATTGTAAAAAAATTATAGAGTAGATAACATTTAAATTAAATTATTTATTTTTCTTTTTTATTTGTTTAAATTATATATCTATTTATTTACTATGAAAAAATGTATTATCTCACATCGATAAAAAGTATCTATGAAATTTTTATTTTAATTGGTATAATGAGTGCTATTTTCATATACTATATCTGTTATATATTTTAAATTGCCACAATGAAATATTAAAAATATCAATTTTTAATATTTATAGTATTTATAAATATTGGTTCTGATGATCATTGATCGCCTTCTGCGTAAAGGCAGACATTATTATTAGCAGATCTATTCCAAAACGATCTTGACCTGCGTTACTATTATTGCTCTTATATTCAATTAAAACTATATTGATTAATTTACTACTATTGTTATTTTATAGTTTCAAGTTTTTTTTTTTTTTGTTATATATATTTTTTTTTAATTAATGCATTTCATTCTAATTATGCAAATCGAATAAAGATCTTCAGTTTACTTGACATCAATAAGAACTCCGATTAATTTACTGTTCAATGATTTTTTTTTATTTTTACATTAATACTATTATGATAAAATATTTTTTTTCTTTTCAAATGCAAATAATTTAAATAATTTTCAATGAAACTGACTTAATGCATTTTATTGGAAATAAATAAATCCATTGTACTCCAATCAAACATTTCAAGACATTAACCTTCTTTTATATTGTTAAATATAAATTCTTTTAACTTAACATCGTCTAATATTTTATATTATTTATTATTATTTTTTTTTATTAAAAAACAATTATTAATTTATTCATTTTATATATCAAATATTAATTGCATTTATTATTAATATTTTTTATACTATTTTTTTTTTTATTTTTTATTAATATATCAATAATTTTATCATTAAAAAATGCTCATAAATGACAATTAAATATTATTTTTAATGAAATTCAAAAAAAATATACTATTTATACATATATTATGAAACTCTCACTTCTGTCAAACGGTCAACCATTTTGGGGCGCTATTTATCAGATCAATCAGATCAGACCAATGACCTCAAATCTCCAATGATTGCTCTTACAAACGCCAAGTGTTGGTAGGCGTTGCCCTCTCAAAAGCTCTTAACACAATTTTCCGTACCACTATACTAAATTAGGTGAACCAAAAATTTATCCCAGATCTAACAAGGCGATAGATGTACAATTATATCTTGAACAATTTTCATTCGTTGATTTAGTGGCCTCATTCTCTAGTGAATAAAACTTCCAGTTACTGCCAAAAAATCTGCAGCCACTCTTCCTACTTCCTAGATTGAGGTGTTCGTGTTAGTTCTCATTTTCGTCGGTGAACTTACGACTCCCGCAACTTTTAAGCCAAAAGTCCTGACTTTCTATGCCCTTGTGCTATGCTTTCGCAAACTGCTTTTAGGGTAAAGATAGAGAAGTCTTTATGACCACATACAAAGCAATAGGACCACATAGAATAGCAATACAAAACAATATGTTATTCTGATATTAATCCCACAGTTCTGCGAGACACAATGCGATAATATCTCACCACGTCAAAACAGTGTGCTACAACTTCATCAAGCTATTATCGCTTGCTAGATGTTAACCATCTTCATGCAGAGTCCACAATGCTTCATGTTAAAGAGCATAATTACAATTTAGCTAACATAAGTGAGGGTTAGCAGCCCTACATTACGATACAGTGTTCTCTTCGAAACAGCAGTTATATAGCAAAGCAAGTTCTCAAGAAAGCTTCTCATGTTCTAATACCGACACTAGTTTAAGCTCTATTGGAATTTGAGTCCGAGAAGTAATAAAAAGACCAGATTTCTTCACTCTGACCAAGGCTAAGACCCACGCCCTCATTCTTTCCTTATCCCAAAATAAACAAATAGAATATGATCAAAAACACAACATATTATATCGATAAAGATATGAAAACTCTTGATAAAAAAAATTTAACGCCTTAGTCAGAGATAGTGAAGACACCAGATAGAGAAGACGTGAAGAAAAAGGTTATAATATATAGATGAAAACATTGTAACTCTTCATAATATATATTTGAAGCCTAGACCAGAGATAATGGAGATGCCAAACATGGAAGAAGACCAAAAACGCTTCCTATTGTATCAATAAAGAAATGAGAGCTCTTGACCAATCAACAGTAGAGGAGAATGGAACAAATTTGTTGAGGAAGCCAAAACATAATCAAGATATTAGTGCTAAATAATGATAAGACTACTTTGTATATTGGACTCTCAGTTATTTCACTATATTTTACTTATTTTTTAGCAGTATTCTTTTAGTTAATAATATTTATTGACCTCTTCAATATGTCACCCATTCCAAAAATATTTATAATAGCTCTAAATATTGCTTCGATGATTGAATAATAAATTATATTGTTTAGATTTTTTTTTTTTAAATAACTAATTAATTATAATTATTTTACTCATTTTGTTATGGCACTTCTCATTTTTTTTAATTAACTATTTAATTATAATTACTTCGCCAATTTAATGTAGCACTACGTGTTCTAGTTTTTGCTTAAAGTAAATAAATAAAAAAGGTTCAGTTTCTTTGTTGTGTTCAGTTTATGTATATAGTGTTTTACATATATAGATTTGACATATGATTTAAATATATGTTTGATTAAAATTATAAATTCAAAAAAATTATTAATATTAAAAAAATAGTTATAGTTTGAAACTATTTTAAACGATATAGTCTAATTTAATTTCTTTCAACTTTACATATTAATTATAAAAATTATATTCATCAATTTTAATATTGGTATTATATAGTAAAATTATTATTCTTCTCTTATAGAATTTAATTAAAATTTATTTTTGTAAGTTTAAGTGCAAATAATTACTTTTCATTTTTTTTTTTAATTGTTTTTATTTTTTTAAAACAAAGAATATTTTTATTTTTAAACATTATATATTCAAGCTTTGCTAGCAATTAATATTACAATAATTAAGTAATTAATAGTAAGTAACTTTGCCAAACTTTAAATTATTAATAAAAATATGAGATTTTTATTTTAAAAAAAGACAAATGTTAAAAATTTATAAAAAAGTAATTAAAAATCAATATATATATGTAATATATATGTATCTAGTGATAGAGTTAAAAAAAATTTATAGGTATTGTTTTTATGTATTTAATTTACATGATCATATCATTTGCTTAAATTATATCAATTCAAGCATAAGCCAATTAAATAATATATACTAATTATATTTTATTAATTAATGAATACATTCATATATTAAAAACTCTACTGAAACTTTTTTAATATATACGGTTTGACATTTATTTTATTTAGTTTGGGTTAGGTTAATGTGGCAGTCAGTCCAGTTGACCAAATCACTTAGACCCCACGGTCCATAGTGATACCACTACTTAAGACGGGACCTTAACCGATTATTTTATTTTCTATACCCTATACTAAATTCAATATAATAATAATTGTGATATCCAAGCATCTTTTATAATTACATTTAAATTCATTGTGCATATTTTAAACAAAACAAAACCATATGCGACTATAACATTGTCGTCATTTCAATAGATTATATAGATTTTTCTTAAATTATTTATTTTATATAAAATATATTTTAATATTTTCACTATATCAATGTTTTAAAATTTTTATCATACAGAAATATTTTATAAAACTAATATAAAATAAAAAATCATAATAAAAATATAAAATAAATTTATATGAAAAATAATATAGAAATTAAATGAAAATTTAATTAAATTGAAATCAAAATTTGAAAAAAATGTTTATAATACATCTAATTTAGACTTTTTAATAAATTATCTATTAATTATACATAAATTAATAAAATATATGTATGTATATGCTATATATAAGTTATATATATTATTATATTATATATATATATTATATATTATATATATATTATATATATATATATATATATATATATTATATATATATATATATATATATTATATATATATATATATATTACTATATACATTATATATTACATATACATTATATATATATTATATACATTTATAATATATATATATGTTATATAAATCATTTTTATATTATATTTATCTTATACATATATATATATATGTTATATAAATCATTTTTATATTATATTTATCTTATACATATATATATATATGTTATATAAATCATTTTTATATTATATTTATCTTATACATATATATATATATGTTATAATATTATTTGTATTATATATATTGTATATACCACACATTTATTATATGTATCATATAAACATTATATATTTTATACTTTTCATAAAACAGATTAAAATATATATAAGTTGTGAAATATATAAGTAAAGTTATATAATTACGAATTTTTATGAATTTTATAATAAACTTTTAATGTAGACATAACAGTTTTTTATTTGTAGCACAAATAAAAAAAATTAATGCTTAAGATGTAAGGACTATTAGCATTGTTTTATTTCTTCTTTACTTTAGAGATGTAATTCTTTTAAATATTTATTCTTACATCGTTTTTAAAGAATTATATGCTAATCAAATTAAACATTATAATATATAATTTTTACAAAATTTTACATTCTTCTTCGTTTTTTTTTTTTTGTTATATGTGAACTTAATGCTAATAGTAATTTATAACCTTGTGTGTGTTGTAGTTTGTAAATTTACAAAAGTAAAAATTTCAATATATGGAAAATTAATTATAAAATTAAAAGTAATATGTAGTTTTAATTATTTTATGATATAGTAAACTGATCCAAGGTATGTAGCAATTTTTGTAACCAAAAAACAGCAGTCGTTGATGATTCTATAAAACCGCGTCGTAGGAAAGTTATAAATTCTGTCTTAATAGCTGAGCGCAAAGTTTTTAAACTCTTCGCATCTTTGCTATTCATCTCAAAGTGTATCCAATTATCCAAGATAAAACTAACTGTCTGCTGATCATCTGTTAAAGCAAGATCACGAACTTCCTTTGATAAAACTTCGAAATCTGCTTCATCATCAGATTTATCGGAATTCTCGCCGCCATAATCGTTTATATTGCAATATCTGCCACAGTGTAGTGCTACGACAACAGGTGAGATAACAGTGTTCATGTTAATAGAGCACAACTTGCCCACACGTGACTTTTCATAAAAGATAATCCAATCATGCGGCAATTGATGTATAAAATCTTTTAGATTCTTTTGTCCTGGTGGATTCAAAGCTGAGGTTCGCTGTACTATAAGCTTCTTTTCTACACTAGATGAAAGTTCATTTTTATAACGATCTAATACGGCAATATTAGGATATAGCCCAGCAGCTAAGCAACATTTTACCATTTCCCAATCATCATTAAATAATGTTGCATTATGTCCTAGACGATACTTTTGCACCATTAGATCGGATATTTGGCGTCGTGTAGCGCAGAACATTTCCATTGCCGAATAAGATAAAGAGTTTTTACTGCAAAAATCGAAACAACGTTTTTTATTGTTTCGAACGGTAGAATATGCCTTGTACAACTCCAACACACCAAGTTGATCACTAAAGCTTTGTGCTGAAAACAGTTTACGTTGATATGAAGCTTGTCCTTGCGCAGAGCGATCTGTTGGTAGTAGAAAAGGATCCTTCACAGAGTGATATGCTACAATTGTTAATACTGGATCAAAACATTTAAAGAAAACACCATAGAGTAAGCATATGCCGAGTTGCACATCAAGTGGTATCTCAACAAGTTGCTTGCCCAAATCCGTCACACTTTCATCATCGTTGAATACTTGTAAGATTTGCAGTTTTTTCACAGCATTTTGTATACAAACTTTCGATGGCGGATTCAGTGCACGTTGTAAATATGTCTGACAATCAGTATTCTTATCAAAAGTTTTTGCGTAGAGACAAATTTCCGCCAATGGTATACGCATAAATTCTGGTATGCAAAATTGTGGCATAAATTCATATTTAGCTTTTGAATACAAACGGTAGCAGATGCCGTTTTGTGTACGACCAGCGCGACCAGAACGTTGATTAGCATCTGCTTTTGAGATCCATACAGATTGTAATTGTGAAGATTCAGTTATAGAATCATAAGTTTTCATTTTAATTTTGCCTGAATCGATAATGTATACCAGATCAGGTATAGTGATCGATGTTTGGCCAATATTTGTGGAAAGTATAATTTTTCTTTGGTTATGACGTTGTAATGCCTCTATTTGATCTTGAGAATCCATTTGTCCATGCAGTATACATAACTTATATGTACCAGGTGGTAATGTACTATTTATGAGATCACGTTGTTGTACGATATCATTATAACCAGGCAAGAATACCAGAATGGCACCTGGATGAGTGCCTCGATATAAACCTTCCAGCAAAGATAATATTAAATCATGATCGACTTCATTATCGTAATTACTCTGCTTTTGATATGCTGTGAGTAGTTGTGTTTTCTCAACATCTTCATCAGTGAACTGTAATTGTTGTTGCAAACAAAATTCAGTTCTCTCTAGAATTTCCGTACATGCCCGATCAGAAAAATTTGCTGCATACTCAACAGCCGTATAACCTTGTGAATCTTGCAAGAGTACATTTGCTTGATTTTTAACAAAAAATTCTACGTATTCAGGGAAATTACACTTGCAAGCAGCCATTAAAGGTGTTATTCCTAAAGAAAAAAAAAAGAAAATGATTTAAATTAATTGTATATATTATATTAATTATATATATCATAAATTATATTGATTATAAATTAATTATTTATATTTATAAACAAACTAATAAATTGTATAAATTATATTAGTATTATTATTATATTAGTATTATCTTTATGTTAGTATTAATATAATATTAGTATATTATTATATTAATATTGTTATTATATTGGCATTATTTTTATATTAGTTTATTATTTAGTACTATTAATATTAATATATTAGTATTATTATTCTTATATTAGTATCATTATTATTATTAGAAAAGTATTAGTATTATTATTATATTAGAATTATTATTATTATTATTATTTTATTATTAGTTATGTAAAATTATGTATTGCCCTTTGCTAAAGCAGTAATAAATCGCTTCGCTCTCCTAGCGAATATGCTTTGTTGCGTTATGGTGCTCCAATATAAAAAATAACAAGCGTTACTCTCTCGCTATGCGCGGAACGAGAATTGTTACATGCTATGCACATCCTCTGCAGCGCATTTAAAGTGCTACGTATATAGCGGAAGCAAAATAAAAAGATATTGTATCTTCAAGGAGAACAATGCGATTTGCTGCTTTATCGGAGCACATTTACAGCTTTACTAAAGTGCTATGCTGACTACTGGCACGTACCTGTTTCTGAATGTGGCGTATCGACATATAAACCCTCACTTGAAATACTAAATTTCAACTGATCAAAAAGTGTTATTAATTCCTCGGTGGTTTTACTAACATCACAACATTGATCTATTATATTATCAACAAATTGTGGTGGTTCTTCCAGTGGAGAAGATAAATGACCATACAATTCAGCTGGTTCGAAATTTTGTTGTTGCATTTCAAGTTGTTGTTGTTCTATTTCTGCCATTGAACGTAGATATTTCTCCATCAATGCTGTGCGATAACCAGAATGATAAAGTATATCTTCTAAATAATAGATTTGCACATTAAAACTCTGTCCTGGTACTCTTAATATAGGACAATTATCAAAATAACGCGATAGCAAAACTATATCCATTGTTGCTGACATTAATATCAACTTTAAATTTTTGTTACGTTTTAAATGCTCCTTCACCGAAATTAACGTAAAATCAGTGAATTTGTCACGTTCATGTACTTCGTCAATAATGAGATGAGTGGTTTTACGAAAAATTTCATTTGCATCTGCCATTAGCGTGCGAAGAAAACAACCACTTGTAGTATAAATTAAATTTGATGTTTTACGCATACGACCTGAAATTATATATTAATAATATTTATTGACTGATAATTAATTTAGTATATTGAACTTACATTCCATGCGTATTTGATAGCCTACAGTTTCACCAACTTGTTCTCCGCGCTCCTCTGCGACACGATGTGCCACCGACACTGCAGCTACTCTACGCGGCTGTGTGACTATCACACGACATGGACGTTTACGTTGATATGCGTCAATTAATATATACTGCGGAACTTGTGTAGTCTTACCAGAGCCGGTATCGCCACTAATTATGATAACCTATGATATAAATAGTTAGTTTAGTAAGATAAGCAAGATATGAAGATTTAATGCTGTGTATTGTAACTTACGGAATTAGTTTGCAGCAAACGGTAGATCTCATCTTGATATTGATATATGGGCAGCTCTTGTTTTTCGCGATACATATCACTTTTAATACGATTAGAACGTGGTGGCACTAAACGTTGACCCAAATGCAAGTACAGTGCATCACCACGATAGCGACTGTTCAAAGGAACATTTGCTGATGTCTCATTTAGGGAATGCAATTTGCGTGTTTCTTCTTTCAAACTGGGCAATACATTGGCAAGTAATGTTTTAGTTCCTGCGGCCAGTTCCAATTTCTTTTTAATACCAATCATTGCGGTTTTTTGCTTTGTTAAGTAAAGTACACGGCTATTCTTGCTACCATAACTCTTAGTTGTCAGCCGCAATGCGCTGGCGTAACGATGCAAATACTTGCGTTCTATGTTTGACAAACCTGGCAATGCGATTTCTCCTTCATTACTCTGTATGAATGCAGAAACTAATTGCTCTAATGGGAGGCGTTCCGCATCAGGCAAATTCTGCCTTTCTTTATTTGAATTTCGATTATTATTCATTCCACTTTTTGAGAACTTATTATATTTTCTGGGTATATCTTCGTTATTGCTATTATTTTTATATCTGTTTAGGTCTCTTTTCGGCATTTGTGACTGCGATGAAAACTGTTTGATACGGCGTACAACGCCGCAATGTTTAGATGCTTGAAAATGTTTAATTTCACTTGAAAATTATATAGCCAAGTTGTTAGGACTTTAGCATAAAACAATTACATATTAAACAAAAACACTATATCAATTATTTTTTATTTTAATTAGTCTCAACTACACTTTTATACATAAAAACTTGCAATGTATTTCACTTCTCAAAGTGTCATTTACAGCTGTAAATGGTTTGAGTACGATGTGTGGATTATTGTGGAACTCAATCCGAACAGAGTTACCAACTCTTAAAATTCACTGCAGCAACAAATTTTCTGTACGTGTTGTAACACAAAAGAGAATTAATTAAATGTGTATGCGAATGGATTATGACTTAAAATCATATAAAAGAAAACAATTAATTTGAATAATAATATTTATGAAAAATCAAGTCTGATTTTAAAATGACACATCAGTAAATTTAATTCTATTAAAATTAAAAAACTAAACCAATACTGTTCCTTTAAAATTTATTTATAACATTTTTTTATTTTAATTCATTTACAAAACATAACACGTTTGCTTTTAAAATGTACATTTTCTTTAAAATTATTAATATTAAATTAAAACTCGTTCAATATAATTTTACACTCTAGATAAGTGATAATATTTTTAATATTAATTAATAAATTTTTATTAATTTTAATTTTTCCGCAAAAATTGAAGTAAATGACTTGTACTTCAAATTGTAACTAATCTTCTTTATTAAATATTAAAAGTTTTAGCCTCTGGTATTCAAGGAAATATGCAATATAAGCATAAAAACATTTAATAACACACTATATGAACTCTCTTACATATATACAATTATTTGTTTACATTTAATACTCCCACACGGCTTTAACTTACGTTAGCAAAATATTATTACAATACATTACATCCTTGTATGAGAAGAAGTTTAAATGTATTCTATTGGAATTTAAATAAAGTGATTTCAAAGCATTTTTTTTATCAATTAAAATAAAATAAATAATGCGCGCATGATACATTCATGTATTAAATTTTCAAATTTTTTTAGTAACTTAACTTTTCTTTATGAAGTAATCACTGCAACCAAGCCAAGAAGTTTGAAGGGTTTATTTGTTTTCTATGCTCCAATCATGAGTGCTATATATGCTTATAAAGGGTACTAATCATAAAAACACAGAGAAGAAAGACTAAGACTACAGATTGAGGTGATGATTAAACCATATAGTTAAGGCTTCTTTTAACTTAAAATTTGTTCCATATTGAACCAAGACACGTTAAGCTTTCTAATATATATTCCCGTTGTTCGCTGTATAAGATATATGTTTATATACTCACATTTTTATTTATTCTTAATTTGCTGTAAACTAACATAATATCATAGATCTGAAAGAGAGAACTACATTGAAAGCTATGTTATTCTTGTGGTAACCCGTTGAAATCAATAAAACGGATAACATCAAAAAATTACATATACGTATGCGTGGGTTAAGTGAAGAGAGTGTGAAAAGGGCGGTATTTGTTTGGGATTTTAATTGAAAACAACCTGGATTGAGGCAGAGATAGCTACTCACTTCAATAGGACGTAGCCAAATATTCAATGAACCTGAATTGATATGAGCATTAGGATAACAAAGCAAGTGGGCAACAATGAGGGGGTAGATCACACATTTACGCATAACAAGTAAATGTTTAACACATAAGTACTGATGTTCCAATGTTCCTTGTAAACAATAGCAATATAAACACTTAATTTTAGATCCTCATAGTTTAATTATTGTTTAATAAAATCTGTATGCTACACGTTATTTGGTTACGTTTTAAATACAAAACTTAAAAACTTTCTACTATCAGTCGTTCTCGCCTTCTTCACTGCTTTCATCATATGCTTCCGAATCTAAATCATCGTCATCGTCATCATCATCATCATCTTCATCATCATAATCATCTTCTTTAAGTTTGAGTTGCTCAATTTTAGTCAGCAGTTCATCACGTGTACGCGGTATTCGTTGTTTGGCTTTTACTGTCTTCTCACAATTTTCATCATCCGATGGAGCTTCAACATTTTCCACCAAGTTTTCATCTTTTTTACCTTTTTCCATATAACGCAAAAATGCACGACGTTTTCGTTCTGGGAATGATTTAATAAGTCGTTCCATTTCAACTTTTAGTTTAACCTCTTCCTCTGGTGTTGGTTGTGGTGGTTCTATATCCACACGTTCTGCACTTTCTAAACATTTAGCACAGACGCGTGTTTCCAAAGCACAGTCCCTGCAGAGTACATGGTAGGCTTTGCGTACATTGCGTTGTTGACAACGTGTACATGTCTTGGGTTGTGTTAATGGTTTATATTTTTTATATTTAATTTTCCATTCAATAACACTTTTACAATGCTGGCAAACTTCTGATACATGCAGTGTATTTAGTTTTTTCTGTTGTGGAGTTTTGTCGTGCAAATCATTCTTGAAAGCTGTACGATTTTTATATTTTTGTGCACGCGTTCGTGATGCATTACCACGTTGTGTACTCATATTGTTTCTATAATTTAAATTAATTATATTATTTTTAATTTATAATATATGCAATTTAATTATACCTATATATTAAATTTAAAAACAGTTTTCGTATAAAACGAACCAAAAACGTGCGCAACTACAAATAATAAACACAAAATAATTTCACCATTAGAGAAATGTCAAAACTAGTTCAGTGTTATGTAGTGTTAAAACTACTATTTTAGTAGTAGATGTTGCGCTGTGTTATAACACAAGAATTGAACATTTTATGATAAATTTAATAAAAAACTGCTACTTGTGCCATTGCGTGCCTCAAATAAGTTTTTTTGTAAGATACTTTATTATCTATTTGTATTTATGTTATATCTAAATACACACAGTCTATGCTAAGATAACAAAATAAAATTTTTGAATTGTTTTTAATTAAACATTTCGTTAAATCCCACAAAAAATTTGGAGAAAATAATAAAATAATTTAAAATATCCAGTTTTGAGATTTAATACAAAATATTTAGCATAACTCTAACATGCTAAATAGAAAATAAAAAAAAATATATAAAGTATCCAATTTTGAGATTTAATACAAAATATTTAGCACATTTAGCATGCTAAATAAAAATAATAAGGAGTCCCATTATTTCTAAGACTATTTTATAAATTAAAAATAAAAATTTCATAATTCTTATAAGTAGTTATAAATTTATTTATATATGTGTATGTTAAGTTTTTCATAAAATATTATTTTGTTCATCTATTTATTTTTTTAAATGTTAATGTGCACTACAAATTACCATTAAATATTTTTTATATTTTCAGGACATATTATTTTTTTGATACCTCACTGCAACCATATGCCTTGCTTAAAATCATCAAAATGCGTGATCTTAAACAGTGTTTACTGGATTTATTACGATCTGGTGGAATTTCTGTGGGTGATAATACAACGAATCATTCACATCCAAAGCCAACACCAAAACCTAAAAAATTACATGAATACACAGCAGCTGATTGTAATGCCGCTTTTATGCGAAAATATTATGACTTAGGTATCGGTTTTAGTACATCTAATGGTATCAATAATAATGGCGGAAATATTATATATTTTAATGAAAATCTTACTATGGCTAGTAAATATGATTTACGACATTTTCCCTTAGCAAGATATCCTTCATGTCCGTTGAGTACATTTAGTCTGAGTGAGGATAGTGTGTCACCACAAAGTTCAAAATCTGGACGATGTGCAGAAGATTCGGAAAGTGCAAAATATGATTTCTCATCAGAAGATGATAGAGATACGCTAATTGCTCGTAATGGACATTGTACGAATGGTGTTGGTGTGGATAGCAGTTGTAGTGGTGGTGATGGACAATTGGACTCTTTTTGTACATTATGCACATCAACATTTAGTTATAATAAATGTTATCGTTATTGTGAAAATTCACTTTGTGGTTCCAAATGCAATTCAGAGAGTGGTTCCAGAACAAGTCATAGTAGTAAAGACTTTCTCAATAAACGTTTTCGACTCTCTAATAAGTAAGTAGATATTATAATTACTCTATTTTATGTACATTTATGTACGCACTTTTAGTTAATATATTAATATAATAATATATTAATATTAGATTCACACGAAAGTTTTGACAGCTAAAATTACAAACATGATCATTAAAATTACAAACAAAACTCTCGTGTGAATCCAATATAAAACATAAATATTGTATAATTATAAACTAATACGTTGCACCAAAAATTTGTGTTGTGATTTTACACAAAATACTCAAATTTAAAAAAATTTGTGCAATCAACTTTCAGTGTTGGTAAATTTCTGTTTTACTTTAACTGTTAACTGTCAAAAGTTTAGTTGTTAATGCGCCTGAAATTAAAATAAGTGGTGATATTTATTTTAAAAATGATATTTTTGTTGACTTAATATATATTGTATCAAATTTGAATTTAGAATTCAAATTTGTTAAATCAAAGTGAATATAATTGTATATTAATTGCCGTAAATGTAGTCCTCTATACAACAATTACACTTAGTCCAAAATGGAGTAATGATTTGTAAACAAATTTTTTTATATATTTAGTTTAAACTAATTTACTTAAACATGTGAAGATATTTCCTTCTTTACGTGTACACATAAAAAACAATAAGACACTATAATGTAAATGCTTTAAAAGATTAGTACTTTATTAATCATACAAGAAAGACATTAACTATAACAGTGGAAACAATCAAACATCATGCTTTGTGATTTTTATTTATTGGTTTTAACTTTTTCTTAAAAACACTTCTTAAATACATGAAAAGAAACTACTAAGTACTTTGTCCTTTTCGAATATATTATTCACAAACTTAAAATCCTGTTAGGTTTGGTTGTTATCGTAAACCTACGGTTCCACTTAGACCTTTTGGTCTATTATGTTGCCATAAAATCACATATAAAATTTACATAAAATATATAATTAATTTTTCTACTTAAAATTTTAATCTATAATAAACGTAATAATGAACCACTAAGTATGTATTTCAATGGTACAAATAATTTAAAAACAAACAGTATATTTATTATTGTAATAATCTTAAAAACAACAATTAAATTAAATTATTTATATAAATAATTAAATAATAAACAATAAATAATTATTTATATTACATTTCATAAATAATGAAAAATGTGCCTTCCTTCTTTCACTTTGCTTAAAATCTATTATGTGATTTGTGTAAACATTGAAATATGTTTTAATTGTTTTAAAATATATTTAATAAACTCTTGTTAAAGTAATTAAACATATTAGTTTTAAATTATATCTATTTTTATCAAGCAAAAATAACATAAAAATTATAAATACATTTTTAATAGTTAAAATTGTTCAAATATAAAACTTATTTGGGACAATTATGTATTTAAGATGACCCAGAATCATCTACCAATTTATTATTATTTCCAATTTATAAAAATAATAAAAAAAAATGCATTTAATTAGGTGATAACTTACTGTGTTTATCTTATTTCAATTGTTGAAAAGCAAATGGTTTCATTAGTTTAATTATTTTTATAACACGACTAGTTTCATTGATCCAACAGAAACCTATTTGGTTCACCTTTCTTAAGAACAATGAAACTAACGAGGGTGTATAAACTAACTAAAGAGGAATAAAAATTGCCGTTGCTGAAACCACTTCAATCATTCTTCGTATCTGCAGATAATTGTATATATGATCAATTGATTAATTATAGGGACCTGAAGAGACCTGGCTGTTTCGAGAGCCATTTCAATTATTCTTTTTTAATATCTGTAGAAAAATGGGGTGTATCATAAGCAATAAGCTGTATTTATGTTTAATTCTTAAGCTTAGAATGCTATGGAGCAGCTTGCAGAATGCAAGACCTGAGTATTAAAGTCTGATTCTGAATAAACAAGAGTAAGGTAAAGATTTAAAAGGTGCTGACGATGTTGGTGGGAAATTCCGACCGTGATGCATTTGATTCCATAGCTCAGTAATCCGTAAAAACATTTTTTGAAAAGATATTTTTATATAAAAAGTTTTTATAAAGTTTTAATAATAATCCCTGGTAGTGAAAGACTTATTAAGATATAAAAATAAGTTGTAATAATAGAACAAAACTGTAAGTCATTATAAACTTATGTTGTTGTGAGACGTGATAATAAGAGGTAGTAGAATAATTCTTCTTTTTTCTATAAACATGTGTATTTATATTTGACTCAACTCAAAAAACAAAATGATTTAAGAGAGATCCTGATGAAATAACAAAAGTTTTTAACAGAGCTGTAAGGATTGTTACAGTTACAATAAGACGGAAATATAAAAACGAGATAAAAATAAGACAGTGAAAGTGGATAGACCATACACTTAGACAACCGAGAAATGACATAGCAAAGAAAGATTTTGTATGGAATCCACAAGGAAGCAGAAGACGTAGTGACAACCTAGAAATGACATAGCGAAGAAAGGTTTTGTATGGAAGCCATAAGTTAGCAGAAGACCAACCAGCAAAAACGTGGAGAAGAACGGTCGAAAGTGAACTAACTAAAGGACGATATATATGGAACGACATCTAGAGAGAAGCACCAAATACAGTCAGATTAAGTAAAATTGTTGAGAACAGAAAAAAAAGCTCTGACGCCAAAATTTGTCGGTGACAAATGCCTACATATGAAGGAAACATGCAATGAGGCTTGGTCTACCTCTGAATGACTTCTATCATAGTTGTGGCTCTGTAGAAGAGGAGAACACCTTGTTTTAACATATGTGTCAGTGCTCATCTTTGGTCAGAAGATTTACTATTTTTAAAGCCATATTCCTCACCGATCGCTTTCCAAATTAGAGAATTGTGAGTTTAGTTCACTTTTACTTCGCGAAAGTTTGTTCTTATTGACACTCTTTATGCGTAAACGGCTTTGATCTTCACACCTGTTCTGATGATCTTTGGTTGGTTGACTTTTAAGCAAAGTTTCTATCCATGGTACGAGTATTACTACGAGTCATTATTTATGCTTAAGTGGGTTTTGGTGTGCAAGGTTGCCACTTCAATCTTATAAGAACTGTTGAATGCTATTTATAACTTCCTGTAATTCTGTAATAGTTCTATAATTCTGTAGTCACCATATAAATAACGTATATGGGACTTCATTATGTTCTTTAAGCTGTTTATGTACTATCCAATCTTTCAATAGATTTTCTATTTTCCACCTTTTTTGGTTCGTTTTTACAGCTATTCGTTGCCAATCATATTGTGCCACCACATATTTGCAGTATAGTATAGTCTGCATAAATTAGTACATATAATTATGGTCTTTAGTGAAGAATTGAATAACGTGTGTAATGTAGGAGATTCCTTCGAAAGTATAACAGTGTATGAAGTAGTCAATTTTTGAATGTAGACCCCGAGTAATATACAGTCGGACGATAGCAACATAAAACAAGAAATACTTGCACTCGTAACAACTCGAGGCTTCTTACTTAAATATGCATATTTCATATTTGCATTATTTTTTGTATCTGTAACATGGCAATCCGCACTTGCAACATGGCTTTTGGTAAGCAACATTAAACACGACGTAATAAAGCAACACAAACTGACCATAAAACTAATAAAACCAAAACTGTATTAAATGCAGCAATACGAGAAAAATTAA